GCCTTCCCAAGCATGGAGGAACTCAAGATAGAATATTTTTGGTCACCCATCCAATGACCCACCACTGCGAAAGTTGCTTAACTTCAATGATCGCTATCAAGATCCTCCAAAATATATTTTGGTAAAATTAATATATAAATAATAATAAAATCAGTCTTATCTATAACAACGTAACTTTCTACCGCATTAAAATATTAATTTGTACAATCATTCATGTAAGTGTTAATCAAAATAAAGAGGTAGGCACCAAATACATTTTTTTAATATACATGACAGATATTTTTTCCTCAAGCAGTGAAAGAGCACGGAGCGGACGTCCACTCTGCTTAGAATATACTATAAGCCACTCTGTACTGTCGCATTAGGCAGCACATGCCCTAAGAGTAATCCAGGCTGTACTACAAATTCTCAAGCTCAATATAAAATGAAAAGGAAAGACTGCTGTCTAAAGACATTTTATCATGTTAAGTTCTACAGCTATGCTATTATGCCTTTGATTATCAAATACTCAAAGTATTATGCACTGGTACTTTTTGGAAAAAAAAATACCACTTTTTCTTCTTATGAAATTAGAAGTCTTGTTTGTGCTATCATAATTTCTTCAGCATCAGTCTACTTCAGTCGCTTATGGGTACTTTATTTCGTTTCCGAGAGGGAAAAATCGTCTTAACTGGTGATATTCGGGAAAAGTTTCCACAAATCCGTATACGGAACAAGATACGGAAGAGAAGATGTTTATGTCGTGACAGTAGTTAACCTTCAATGGTCAAAGTTAACCCTTTAGCATATCAAAATTTTACAATCCCATAAAAGAATTTCGGAGGTCACGAACAAGTTGAGACCAATTTTTTTTTATTATTTGCTGCAAATTCATATAAAATTCAAAAATTCAAAATTCAATATCGTTTATTCAGACTAGGCTGTTACAAACACTTGTTAATGTCGAAAAGCTACGCCATCGGTTCGCAAATCTACGGCGGGAGACCTTGTACTGAGAAGAACCTCAGCAAGGGCTGTTTTTTCTCCCTTTCTTTTTTTTTTTTAACGCAGGTAAAAAATCTTTTTACAGTCGACGGCGCCTTTAAGAGGCACACCGCCGAACGGACCTCACACCTGGCTCCCGCAAGTCTTACGGACCCCCCAGTGGCTACCCACCGAGGACCCCGCAACTCTTACGGGCGCTTTACAGTATAATATCCGCTAAAAAAGTCCTGCGAATACCTCTACACTGCTTAGTGCGGAGCCGCAGGGTCCCCGTTAGGGATTCTACCACGGCTCCGCCCCCAGCAGCATCCCGGCCTCGCCAGGGCTCCACGGCAGGGGTCTCCCGCGGTATTACGGGGAACCCGCAGACGTGCGCAGGTAGGCCCGCGCGTGGGGGCTGGATACGCGGCCTACTGCCCACCATACCGCCCCCCATCCGCTGCGGAGGGGACTCCTGGGCGTATCCGTCCAAGAACCCTCCGCCGCCCCCCTTTGTAGGACAGAACTACTACTGGGGGGGCCGCCGTTCCTGGGAGAGGGGAACGGGAGGGGAAGCGTAGTTCTTCCCGTCCCTCTCCCCCTCCCGGTCGCCCACCTCTCCTAGCGTCTTCTCCTAGGAGAAGAGGAGGAAACGCGAGCGACAGCATTCGTGGGGGGTCCGAGCGGCTGAGGCTATTCGGACATCCCCCCCTCCGAGGGCGCACGTACGGGTGCCGACGCCTCAGAGGGCCCTTTCTCGGGAGGCTTGCCCCGGGTTACCGGAGGGTCGCAGCTCCTGCTCCCCATGACGTGGTCGGCAGGCCGACCACTGTCCGCACACACTGCGCATCGGGACGGGGCGGCGCATATTGCCGCCTTATGTCCCGTCTTCCCGCACCTGAAGCACAGGCCACTGCGATCCTCCCTTGACGGGCACCTGTCGGCAACGTGGCCCCCGCCCATGCACCTAAAGCAGTGCGTAGGCGGGGGGCCCAGGACCGTCACGCGTGCAAGGCTCCACCCCACCTTCAGGCTGTTGCCCTCCGCCACCTTTCTCGCGGCATCTACGGGGCACCTTATTTTGGCGAACCCGTTGCCTCCCGGTCCAGGGTGTATTTCCCCAACCTTCACCCTGCAGGCCTGGCAGCCCCCCTTTTCCACCACCGCCTGCAGCAGCTCCTCCATCGTGACGGACTCGTCGAGCCCGGCAATCCGCAGGTCGGCCATCCTCTCCGGCCTGCCGACCTCCACGAACTCTGACATCACCTCACTGATGCGTTTCGCGAGGGCATCAGCTTTGGTGGGGCTGTCCGGGCCAGGGACCACCAGGAGTTTGGTCCCCACCCGGCTTTCCCGGATCTTGAGCCCTCCCTCTATGCCCACTTCCTGGAGCCTCATCTTCCCCCTGGACATCTCCAACACCTTGGCGTAGGTGACCCCTCCCTCCTTCGCGGTCGGCGTTAGCCTCAGGGTCACAGCCGCGGTGTTCGGTACCCTCATTTTCGGCTTCCCGCCCTCCGGTCGCAGTAGCTTCTTCCGCTCTGGCGCTTTCTGCGCTGGCGCCTGCGCCCTCGCCACCTCTGGCACCGAGGCCACCCCCGGGCCCGCACCCTTCTTCTTGGTCTTCTTCCTGGCCACCACGCTCCAGGTCTCCACCTCTGAAGACGTCCCTGTCTTCAGACCACACCGGTCCGCCGCTAGGGGCGGTCTGATCCGCTCCGGCGGGGGCAGTCTTCCTTCCAGAGAGGCCAGCCGAGTGCTGACCATCTCCCCTATTGAAATCATAAGGGAGCGCTTCAGCTCCTCGACGGCCTCTTTCCACTCCGGTCCGTTGGTCCTGTCCTTGCCCATCACCTTTTCGTGGAGGACCCGCACCTCCCTGCGCAGCTCCTCCACCTGCCCCGCCAGAGAGGAGTTCTCCGCGCGGAGCCGACACACTGCAGCGTCCCCATCCTCCAATCTCTCCCTGCACCGATCCCTCTCAACACGGTACCGGCGAGCTCTCTCCACATAGGAGCCAGCCCTGCTGAATATGCAAACCAGGCTCGCCTCCAAAGCCTCAAGGTTGTCAAAAATCCTGACATACCGTGGCTTTTTCAGCTCTTTGGCATCCCTGGCCTCGTTTACCGCCTTTACCACTCCCTGTATGATGTCCATGGTATCATCGCTCACCTCCTTCCATGAGCGATTATCTTTCTCCTCCTCGTCGTCGTCCATGGTCGGTGGTTCTGGCTTACCACTTGTTTCCATCGGTCTAGTGGAAGCCGCAGCGCCTCTCATGCCTCGACGGGCCGTATGTACTTTGGCGGGGGAAGGCGTTATATCCCCGCCCTCATCCGCTCCGCCCCTCAGTCTCAAGACCTCAACTCCAAACGCCTCGGTAACTAATTTAACACCAGGGGTACCGGAATCCCCCTGGCGCCGGTGGCCAACCGGAGCGCATAGGCCGCTGCTAGCAAATTTTCCACCCTGGGTAGGAGCTTCCCCAGGGCGCCCGGTGTCAGCGGGATCGCAGGACAAATAACACACATTGTCCGACATTTTCATACGATTTTCCCTCTTCCGGGCGAGGGAACCCTACCTGGCCTTCTTCAAAGGTGATTTTTGAAAAGGTTTTCTTCCTTGCAGCCCCCGCCCCGAAGGACGGCGGCCCCCGACCCACACCACGTGCGGGGTTACGGGTTGGCCGGAAGCGACGCGGAGTTCGCGCCGCAACCGCCCTCACCAATGGCGTTTCCGCCTCAACCTATGGAGTCTCGACCACCGCTACCCGGGCTACCCAGGGCGCCGGCCGAGAGACCCCTCGGGTGATTTTTTAAAAAGGTTGTCTTCCTCGCAGCCCCCGCCGCCAAAGGAAACAGTTCCTTTGCAGACGGCGGCCCTCGGCCCCGCACTATGTGCAGGGTTACGAGCTTGACTCGACTGCCGCTACCCGGGATACCCAGGGCGCCAGCCGAGACCACCACCGGGTAATTTTTTAGAGAGGTTGTCTTCCTCGCAGCCTCCGCCTCCAAAGGAAACAGTTCCTTTGCAGACGGCGGCCCTCGGCCCCACACTATGTGCAGGGTTACGAGTTTGACCCGACTGCCGCTACCCGGGATACCCAGGACGCCAGCTAGGTCTCCACAGCTGGGTATGGTCCACGCCGGCCGAAACCGGTGCCTCCCATCCGCCACCCGAGAGGACGCGCCCGATAGCAGACCCAGCCACACTGCCACGGGCTGTTTTTTCTCCCTGTATTATATACAGAGTCGTCAAATTGAAAAATGACTTCAATATGAGGTAACTCATAAAGTCACTTTCCATTACAATGCAAATAATATAAAAATTATGACTATATAAAAAACTGGTTTAACAAAGTTTAAGAATGCCGTGTCCTACTGTTTAGCCAAAAATAAATAAATTAACTATTATAAGTTTAGTACAACGATTAATAGTACCCAATGAAGCAAGAGCAGACTCATCTCCGCTGGCAGCACCCGTTCATGAGTATATAATATTTTATATTACCAGAGGCAGAATTTCACGCACTACGTATAGTGCGTGAAATTCTCAAGTCGTATCTTAAGTCAAAAAAGAAGTTCGCTTTCTGTATGCACTATTTGGGGTACGCTATCATGACGCCAGCTCCAAAAGTTATTTCAATATAAGTCTTGTTCTATATCTTTGTTCCCATATGAGCTATAATTATGCAATTTTGCATAGTGTGGGTACTATTACAGTACTATTTCTTTTATTTTGTGAAAATTTGGTTGCATAACAAAAAGCCGTTTTGAGAATGGCCTGGTGTACGCTACTTTTATCGTCACTCCAGCGTACAACATGAAAGCCGTTATTATTTCCTAAACTAAAGAAAAGAGATTTTTTTTAAAAATTGCACTAATTAGGCAATACCTATTTATTTACTTACTATTTGATAGCATAAGTAACAATGTCGAACACGATGTGGTGTACGCTAGCAAGACGGATACTCTCATGGTGATAATCACAATTGTGATTCACAAGATTCACAACGGGTTTAATATTGCGTGACGTAATACGACTTTAATTATGGCAACATAGTTCAAAGATTTTTAAAAAGTTAGTCAAAATGGCGGCCCTGGATGAAGTTGACGTATGTGAAAGTTGGGAGGATATGGACGAGATAGGTGTAAGTTTGTAAATTGTAAATGTCTTTAGTACCTTTTGCTTTGAATATTGTTACATGCTTTTCTGTGATGTAAATACATCATCGAGCATTTTTACATTTCAGTTAGATCAAAAAATCAAACTAATGTCCAGTGAATGCGCGCCTGTCAAAAATCACAGGGGTTGCAAGGTTACTGTAGAGGATAGCGCGTGTATTGGGTCCCAGTGCGTGATGCCGGAGCCTGCGATTCGTATTCTAAAACGGCCGTCGTCCTCTGGAAGCGGTCAGTTGAACGGCGAGAGTAGAGCGCGGCCTGTCAAAACCCTTGAACAAAGGCAAAAAGAATACCAAGAGGCCCGTCTCCGGATACTTGGTGAGGCGCGAAGCCCCGAAGATGTTATCGACGATAAGTAAGACTCTTCATTATTATTGCTTAATTCTCTAAAACATGTTTACATAACCAATAATTCTTCACAACTGTCATTTTCTAAACTTGAGTACTGCTTGTGCGTGGTTGTTCTATTGAATCATTGTTTTACTCTAGTCAAAACAGTTACTGGAAATAACAATGTGTTCTGAGAAAAACAGATATTTTAAGTTCTAACTTACTTCTATAGTAGATATAGTACTCTAGTAATAATACCTTTATGCCCCTTATTTCCATGCTATTTCAGTTAAGTACTTTAAATCCATAAAAAAATACTGATAGAATGGGAGGAATTTGTTTTGATATGCCATGGATGTAATTTGTTTCAGCCTAAGCCGGTTGCAAGATAAACTACAAGCAAATAATCTCAATGACAACCAAAATCACAACACTAGTAAAACGAAAAACAGTAACATTGAAAATAACACCAAAGGCAAAGAGCGCAAAGTTCTGTCGCGGTTACCACCCGGTGCAACTGCTGCTGGTGTTTTCCCATCCCCACCACCAAGAGGTGTACTAGTTATACGTACCCCTAGGGGTCCCGATGGCACAAAAGGCTTTGCAAGAAGGTAGCATTGCCAGTATGTCAACTCATGACTCACATATTAAAATAAGCTCCATCCAAGCAACTTTCACATTAAAATTGAATTGTTGCTGCTTGCGACATGTATATATTATTATGATACAAGAACTTTACAATTTGTAATTTATTTAGTTCCATCATCAAAATATAATAATTGCAATAAGTGATAATAATGATACTACTTACATAATTAGTATAATTCTATGAATTAAAATCATATTTCTCTATTTCTTCAGAAAAAACTTTGTAAATTGACAATAGTTAATGAAACACTTTATTAAACAAGAATGAAAAGTGTCTAATAGAATTTAACATAATTGAAATAAGTTAACAAAAATATTAACAATATCTCAGTCTTGTGACCTCGGAGCATGAAAAGGAAATGAAATATATAATAAGTTCATATGTATGTCAGTTTTTGGCATTCAGATGTGATATAAATCTGAATGCAAAAATATATGTCATACGTATATTAAAATATGCATACATAAAAGTTATTTGTTTTCTATTCAGTTTTTAATGTGATTTATTCACAAAATATGAATTTATAACAAAATTAAAGAAACTGTTGAAAATATTGATGTCTTGAAGGAATAATATTATAAAACATGGAATAAAACATATTATATAGTAAATTACAAGTTGTATAAGTGATTGAAGAGTGCTCATTTCAGGGAACAACCACACATAATGTGATAAATTTTTGAATTGTAATTTCAGCATAGAAAATGTTACAATGTTATTTCTTATGAACTGAACACTCGACACATTAATTGTATGTACACAAAATGTCTTATTGCAACTTTGATAAACAATTTATATATTAAAACCACCTGAATTCTACAATATTGAATTTTAGAAATAAAATTCTCAATGATACAATACATAAGGTAATGTCTCATCAATATTTTTGATATTTTGCAACACAAACAATATTGTGTGCATACAATCAATTTTATTCAAATTTTAAAATGGAAAGTTTTTATATCCAGTTTTTCTACATTGTAAAGTATATTATTAGGTTAAGGTACTTGCTAATTGTATATTTTTAGTTTTATTGTTTTATTATAAGATTTTTTCTACTCTTAATTATATTTGTGATACAATTGAACTGATTGTATTTATAGTATGGTTAATTTAGGATACAAATTACTGTTAACACAAATATAATTAATGAGTTGCAATGAAGAGTGACTGATGTGTGGGAGATTTACGACAAATTATTTCGATGTCAATGCTTGTCACCGAGTGGCATTAATGCCATGATACTAGTCGTAGTTTACTTCATAGTTTTGGCTTGCTGCAGTGAATTGCTTCATATATTTTTACAGCTGGGCAGAGGATAATAGATTTGAATATTGGAGTGTGTTGTATGGCCTATCAATAAGTTACGACACACCATCACTTAGCACTTATAATTTCTCCCATCGATTAGCCATTTTATCAGCAAAATAATATCAGAAGTTGCCTCCTAATTACACTTCAGTTTCACATAATTTAATAATTAACTATTGCTGTTGTCGATTAACTTCTCAGATGAAATGAAAATTCAAGTAATTTACTGTCGCAATTTTAGGTTTTAGTGTCGATACCTATCGCCAGCTAATGTGATAAACATATCAATAATATATACTTGCATTGTGCATCGAAGTAAATGTATGGTTGTGTGAAACCAATAAATGTAAGTTAATGTAACTGCAGTAGATGACCACGGTCAAGCAGGTTAACAGTTTAATTGACTGCATGTAAATTCACTTTAAGATGCATTCCAGTAGGCCTAGTCGCTAACTGCTTTTGGAAGATGGAATTGATAATCACCAAGCTGTTTAGTGATCCACATCTGCTTTATTATAACACCACAAATATGCTTGTTCTGAAAAGCATCAATGAATATGCAACTTTCTCTTTAGTACTGTAAATGTCAAAAAAGTTTGCGAATAGGCTGGCAGTTAATATTTATGGCAGAGAACGACCGTTTGCAGATCAAATTTTGTTTAAACATGCACAAAACATACTAAATTATATGATTTCATAATTTTTGTTGTATACATTGTATATTGTATATATATATATCCCTAAAAAACTAACGAAATTAGTGGGACGTATTTTACATATGACCCCAAAAGATAAAAAATGTAGTGTGCTGTTGCTTCTAATACCACTAGATGGCCCTACTCAAAAACTAATTATAGAAAGAAGGTGCTTTTACAAGCAAAATCTATGTCTATTTCTTTGGTCACTCTCCCTTAACGTTTCAAAGCTACACAACTTATTAATAGCTTTTAAAAAAACTACTGTGACTGCTCATAATGCCGAAATTAGCATAACCTGCATTGACTTTACCGTGAACATCTTCTGCGGTGAGCAAGGATTGTGATATCGAATAATCGTCTTATTGCAAGCCTTACCCCATCTACGAAAAGTTATACAGAGTAGGTAGTTAAAATTGAGATTGCCTCAATGACCTGTTACATGTAGGTAGTGTTTTTACAATGACATGTTGTAATTGCTAGATTTAATTTTTATACACAGTGTGAGATAGTTCTAAATATTTCCACCAACAATAAAACAATCCAAATAAGCTGTCACATTTTTGTTTGATGTTAGGTATGGCTTGTTGAAAGTTTTAGACTGTGAAGGTCAAGATTTCTTAATAGTCTGGTCTTATTGATTGTATGGCTCTATACAGACTTGCTGCCATGAACTGTACACAGTCGACATTAAGATTAAATGCAGTTTAGATGCATGCGATTCGCTTGCGGCTTGCAGTCGACTGGCAGTTTATGTCCAGCGCGTCTGTAATAAGCTACAAAGCACCTCCACTAGAGATCACTCAAATTTTGTTTGAGATCGAATTCGCCAAAGTTGACAGCGTGCGTGGAGGGTAAGCCGCGTTTTGATTGGACACGTTAGTATGATTTTTGTGAAAAGATGTATCGCCATTGGTCGACGTCTGGGGGCGTGTCACACGCATATGTAGTAATAAATACAAGGGGGTGCCCATTTATGCCGTGTATCTATAGTGGGGGTTCTCTGTGAAAAAGCCTATGAAAGTAATAGGTAAGCTAAATGCTTTCTTTTCTATTAAATTCTATCTACGAATGCTTTTTTACTTAAAGTAATACAATGAGGTTTTATTTTCTTGACAATAATGTTTATTGTACATTGTTATTGACAGAGCAACCCTGCGGTTTCATTGTATAATTTATTAAGTTAATTTATTTGGGTCACTAAAATGGATTTATAAAGTGCACAAGACATATTGTAAGGACGCTGGCTGAGGTAGTTTGTAAATAAATCTGTTCATTTTTCATGAATAAATTAGTGCCAATTAACATATTTATTGCTTGTGCTAGTTGTTTTGTTGTGGCCTTATTATTTGAATGATGCCGTTTTCTGTATTGTATCGATTTGATGTAGCAATATCGTGAATATTTTTTCTTATATAAATTTTACTATTCTTCTTCACTTAAGTAAAAATATGGAAGGTTTGAGTAACGAGGTGCCGATCACTCGAGTTCAATGTCGATAATGGGAGAACATAAGATAAGGTAAATGCCTAAATTAGTAATGTTTTTCAAATTCTTTCGATAGATCAAAGCTCTATGGTATATGGTACTAACGCATCGTCGCATCGTAGTTTCGTTTATTCACCCCTAGAAATGATAAACTACTTACTAAAGAAGTACCTAAAAATTAATGGTCAATTCATACTAGCGTAGAGTCGTAACGTCAATCAGAAAGGTAACAAAGCAAATTCACCCTTATCTCTGCAACGTAAAGCATATATTCCTTGAGATAAAAAGAGGATTCTCGAATGCGCGCGTCCGCGCGCTTTGATTAACAGCTCGGAAGGAATATGTGCATCACGTTGCAGAGATAAGAGTGAACTTTGGTATACTCTTCTCAATGACGTTTCGATGCGTTCGTAGGAACTGACTATGAATTTTTAGGTGCTTCTTTAGTACAGTCAATCTGTCGAAAAAAATATCGTTTCAGTGAAAAAAAGACCTAAAGGGTAAGTCTTGTTTTTTCTGTTGCCAAATGACGTCAGTAAGCCACCTTGGCGATGGGCATGTTCAACTCGTAGGCGTTTTTTGAAAAACTCAAAAAAACCGCCAAAAATTTTTGAAACGCATTTTTCTTGTTTTGTATGCATTTTAGAAACTTTTTTTTCGACCATGATTGTAGAGGGCGTTGAGTGCTACAATTTATGTCATTGTTGCAATCTCGTACAACAAAAAATGCGCATTGTAGGTGGCGCTAAAGTCTCAAAAAAAGTGTTTTTTCACTTTTTCACCCTGAAAATATCATTTTAATGGAAAACTTTAAATGGCAAAGTTGTTTCGTACATACCAACAACTTTTGTATTAACAATTTTTTTGTATTACTTACCGTTTTCAAGTTATAAATTGCGCAGATATGAAAAATCCAATAGAGCGGTTTTGGGCAGTTCAAGTACACATTTGCAGTGCACATTTCAATGTACGAGATTGCAACAATGACATAAATTGTAGCACTCAACGCCCTCTACAATTATGGTCGAAAAAAAATTTTCTAAAATGCATACAAAACAAGAAAAATGCGTTTCAAAAAATTTTTGACGGTTTTTTTGAGTTTTTCAAAAAACGCCTACGAGTTGAACATGCCCATCGCCAAGGTGGCTTACTGACGTCATTTGGCAACAGAAAAAACAAGACTTACCCTTTAGGTTTTTTTTTCACCACTCAACCTACAGATTTACTGTACTACTTTGTGATAATATAAGAATCAGACAATAACAATAAAAACTTAGAGAAGCATTAAATTAATTTGACGTTTCTGAGTACAACTACAAGACATAAATAACGTTGAATGATATTAAATTAATAATAATTAGTCGGTTTTATCTGTGACAGTTTGTTTAGATTACAAAAATGCTCTCAAGTAGGAAAGAGGAATATTGACCATAAGAACCGGTTATATATGAGACTATGTAGGCGGGAAGCGGTTGATCGATTAGAATGCATTACGATCCCAAGGGCCACTTGCATCAAAGTTCCTAAATAGTAAAACAAAACAATAGGGATGATGACTAATACTTTTTTCTTCGTTTATCAGGTAGATTATCAAAAAGTATTGGACACGTATTTTTTCTTTTTTCACATAATATAAACATTGCATAGATATATTGATTTGAAAAGTCGCTTGACGTCACGTTTTGGTAAAATTTTCACTTAAAAGTGACGTCACTAGCCCCTACTCCCAAACTTTGACGCGCTATAACTTTAGTCATTTTTTGGTTGATTGCCCAAAGAAAAAATACGTGTTCATTATTTTTGATAATCTAACTGACGGACTAAATAGAATTTCGTTTACTGTACCCCGTCATCACCCCTATTATAAAAACCTCATTCTATCTCTATTGACTTAAAATAGATAAATAAGGTGATGCTTTAAAAGGGAATAAGATTTATTTAACAACATTGCTCCGAGTGACCCTTTTTCTTCACAAGTTTTTCTTCTTTTTTGATCTCAAAGGGTTTAGCAAACTCCATGCTTGAATAAAATAAGGTGATTGCTACCTCTAAACTTGCTGCAATGTCACTAATGACACGGGGCGAGTTTACAAGCTACAAGCCAGCGAGTTCGCTAGTAGCTTGAAAGTCGCCCTATATCATCGAGTAGCACAGATGGTAAAAAAGCCAATGACAAGGGGCGAGTTACAAGCTGCTAGCAAACTCCCTGGCTTGTTGCTTGTAAACTCGCCCCGTAGCATCGAGGCTTTAGAGTAAACTATATAGTAAGGTTCACTTGCATTCATTAAACACATTAATTTCATGACAAGGCAATGGTATTGACTTATTTAAAGTTATATTTGTCATGTAGAAATGTCATTTTTAATTGCAGAGTGCCAAAACTTCGTTATCTTATTAAGTGTAATAATGACTGATGAATTAGTGTCTGTTCACATATCCTCGTCACGATGTCGTCATCGTGGAACGGTACGTTGAAATACCGTGCAAATTTACGACAATTTTTGCACGATAAGTTAACGCACCGTGCAACGTTACCGGGCTGGTATTTTACGTTGACGACGTCTTGACGTGGAGATGTGGACAGACTCTTACTTTATTGAACCTAGGTAGTTATTTGTATTTAAATGCGTGGATTGCTATTTTGAGTTGAATCGTGCAATTTACTTAAATTATCATGTCTTGTAAACTTTTTTGAATTACTGAAAATAATGTAAAGAAAGGTCGGCCAATACATGTAATTTTCGTCTGCGTTAATTTTTAAGAAATAGGTATTTTAGTTTTTAAATTAATATTTTAACCGAAACACTATTAAATTGTTATAAATATTAACTTGTCTGATTTTATTTATCAATTAGAATTTGTCGTTGGATTGAAAAAAAAACGTGGTAGGTAAACACCTAATTCAAATATATTAGGCGTTGCACATTAATTAAGACCCATATTATAGAAAGATTCTCAGTGATTGATGTAGTCTTGAGCATAGTTAGAAAGGGATGTCGCTTGAAATAGCTCATAGCGATAGTCCTTTCTAACTGTACTCAAAAACAAAAACTGTGGAGGGTGCCGAAAGATTCGATAATTCGACATCACCCTGCAAAACGTTTGTCGCATTACCGCGGGTCTACTATATTAAAAAAATATTTTTGGGTAGTCGAAAAAGTACTGAATGTAGCATTTAAAAATCATTTTTATTAATAATTAAAAATTGTCTGTCCGGGATTTTTTAGGCAACCCTTTTTTTAATATATTTATAGTCATGATAAAATATATTTCATTCTATTATCAGCTCGGTGAAGGTCGATGTAGTTTCGGATCTTAGACCATAAATATACAAATCTCAATGTTCCTCATGGCAAGTCCTCATAAATTAATTAATATTAGAACAACTCAAGATTTAATTGGCCAATTTTACGATTATTACATTGCATTCGTAACGAATTTCATATAAGATACCAATCAGGTAGTGATTGTCGCTCTGATAAAATTAAACTAATAAACATAAACACCGGACCGGTTCAGTATTACATTCATTATGAATGCCGTTCTCAGGGAAACTAGTTATACCGCAGGAGTCCTCGCTCAGTTTTATAGAGAACTTGAAACTCTACGCCTGTGATTCGTGTGGTTGACAAAATTATGGCCGCTTTGGAACATTTGAGTGAAAGGGACAAAGCTGTTCTGAGAAGTATCTTTGATCCCACCGCGACTATCGGTGATAGTGTTGTAGATAACAGTGACACATTTGAAGAAGAGGAAGGTAAGTGTTGGTACTAAACATAGATAAATGATTGGTCTCGATTAACTCGAGTGAACCGAGACCAATCATTCATCTATGGTACTAAATTTGAATTAAATAAATTAAATCACGATTTTATAATAGGAATTCTAACAATTGTTTCTTTAATTTTAAGATTTCATAATACTATAAGTTAAAGTGAAAGAACTCTGACAGCTGCAGCCCGACCAAGTCTAGTGATACAAGCTCCACTATAAAGCTCAAACAGAGGTTCCCTTAAAGGATGACGCAGTTGTACGTTATTGTATGCTATGAGGACTCAGAACGAGAGCAGATGATAAAGTATTTAGCAGATCGGATATTTTATGAAACTTGTCGAAAAAATTACAAATGAGCATCGTTTAGGTGCAGTGTATATAGTAGGTAGTGTTGAATATAGATCTGTAGCCAAAAAGGTGATAAATTCCTACTAATTTTATAAACGCGAAAGTTTGTATGGATGTTTTTTGATGTACCGTGAAAGAGCAACATTTCACGTTAAAACGGTTGAACGGATTTGGATAAAATTTGCCACCTGTGTAGTTTATGCCTCCACGGATCATGTAGAGTTTATCCGAAACGTATTATCAAATGGACAGTGTGCGTGAAAACTGAAAACAAAAACATTTAATCCCAGAGCCATCGACGGACGCTTACAAGGAGTCGTCGAAGCTGTGTTCTGAAGGGGTGCAGCTCGCCGAGTCGGGGAAGCTGGAGGATGCATTGCAGCTTCTCAGCAGAGGCATACAGGCTGCACCGGATCGCGCCGCCGCCTACAACGACCGCGCGCAGCTACTGCGGCTCATGCAGAAGGATGACGGTAATTTTAAATCAATTTACGATCGACCGCACGCATAGAAATCAATTATTCGCACATCTAAATTACAAAAAATCACAGTATTCACCACTTTTCGGAAGTACTGTGTTTCTGTCACTGAGTAAAACATGGCTTCACGGGGTCGGAGTAGACGCCTCAGGTAATACTATGGTATCAAAGCCGTACGTATATGGGGTCCGCATAACATCAGCCCAGATGTTATGCTTGTTTGTGACGCTTTTTTACAAAACAAAATCTTTTTCTTGTGACACACAATGTAAGGCCTTCCTTCAAAGGTGCGTTATTGTTGGTTTATAATACCTATTGAATGCGTTATTGCAATATTAGTTTTTAGTACTATGTATATACATATTAGTAATAGAGTCTGTGCGGAAAGAGATTGGGCGTGGCGAAAAACGGAACTAAAATTAAGATTTTTATTTAACAATCAAACCCAGTATTCTGTAAAACGTCAAAGTTTTGTATTGATACGGATTTGTTTGTTGTTGTGATTTCTTGCGGTTATTTGTATTTAATCATGTCTTAAAGGGGTAAAACCTTACAAATACGGTAGAAAAGCACTAAAGCGCCCTCCAATCTAAATCCCATTCTCTTTTCGCACAGACTCTAATAACGACGTAGTAGAAGTACTTATGATGAAAAATCGCGATAACGCATCGGATATTATTACCGATAATAATGCGCAGCCGGAGGCGTAAACCTCAGCAGTTTCTCTCTTTACTTATTATTGAATAACCACAAAACAGATGCGATGACTGACTTGGACGTGGCTCTGAAACTGACTATGGGCAAGAGGAGCCGCGCGCGGGCACTAGCTCTGTGCCAGCGGGGCGTGGTGCTGCGCAAGCGGGGAGCGGACGACGAGGCGCGCGCCGCCTTCATTGAGGCCGCGCAACTTGGCAGCGGGTTCGCTAAGAAACAGGTAGGAGCCGTGCAACATGCAAGTACACAGAGGGTTCCATAAATAAGAGAGTCGGTAACATCCACCTCGGTCGTCCCGCCCCATCAACGGGACGGTTGGGAAAAGATGTTCCATCGATCCCATTAGCCCCGACCCCGTTTTTTAACGTCGTGGATGGCACAGATCAAGTATCATCTATCGCGGCATGTCTCTTAAGTAGCATAAACTATGCCGCCGCGTTACGAGGGCGTTTTACATACACACTTCGCTACGCGTCCTTGCACATCTCTGGGGGAAACGCAGCCTGATTTCCAAAGAGAGATAGAATGGCAGGTAGAAATTGAAGCGGTCCTTGATAACTATCATTCCCTGGCTGAATCATGAATTAAAAAAAATATTAAATTTCATGTAGGTAGGTACTAGGGCAAAATAAGTCCAAAGGAGTCCTTTCTTCATTAATATATAAAACTTCGGAAGTTAGAATATTAAATATCCCATAACTTTGCCACCACAACTTAGACGAATAGTTATCAAGGAGCGCTCCAATATCTACCTTTTGCCATACCTCTTTTGCGGAATCAGGCTGCGTTTCCCCCAGAGATGTGAGAGGAAACCAATAGAACTCCTAGCTTATGTTACTTAATCTCTGCTAACCGCCCCGTTAAGGCGCTTAGCAGACGACGGGGCGGGGTGGGCCGGTCAATTTCGCCGCGAATAATAGCACAAAGTGAATCCTATACTTCAAACGCACACAGAGGGCAAAAAGACCGCGCCGCAGGTGCCCGGCGGGCAGTGGCGGCGCGGCATGTCCGCGGCTGCCCGCCGTGGATCATACAAACCAGTTTATATGCAGTAACGCAGACGGCGGCGCGGGGCGGTCAGCTCAGTCCGCGCCACGCGCTTATTAGTGATGGACTATTCACTAGAACGAACGTCCTGAACTGACCGCCTCTGCCCGTCGTGTGCTTTGTGTACGCGGCGCGGGCAGCCGCAGACATCGACGGGCAGACGCGGTCTTTATTGCTTCGCGGGCAAAATGCCCGCCCCGCCCCGTCGTCTGCTCAACGCCTAAAAATACATGCCGCGGTAGACGATACTTAATTTTTCCCATCCACCCAGTCGGGGCTACCGGGGTGGATGGAACATTTTCCCCAACTGTCCCGTTGACAGGGCGGGAAGACCAGGGTGGATAGTACCGACTCACTAAGAGGCAGGAATCTATGAGCCTTGGAAGCAGGGGTGTATTTAGCGAAGAACTAAGAGAGCCATGGCCCGGGGCGGATGCAAGAGCTGCAGAAACCATATAAAACATTCGATACTATCTGTTGTCTGTAGAGAATTTTTATATATTTGCAGTAGGTGGACTGCAGTTAGATGTAAAAAACCCTTTTTCTTTACAGGTGGTGGAACTGAATCCATATGCAGCCCTGTGCAATAAAATGTTAAGCCAAGTGATGAAAGGAGAGAAGGAAATTAAAGTATGAATAAATAACAAGCATTTCAATGATCACTTATCATCGTATATGAGAATCCAACCTGCATGCTGGCAAGGTGAGGTTGGCCTGGTGTATATTGGAGTTGCTAGGGATTATTCGTAGGTGTGGCACCACTCCCAATCGAGGGTGCACCATAGGGTTTTAGGGGTTATTTCCATTGACTCGCCCCATCAATGGGGGATTGTGAACTTTACTTCCACTTATCCCCATTCAATGCTAATCAAATTGATTGATTGAGGATCAGTGGAAGAAAAGTACACAGATTACGTACCCCCAAATATTCCCCTAGATGGGGCAAGTCAATAGAGATTAGTGGAATAACCCGTTTTAATCTTAAAGCAAAGGTTTTAGTATGCAGGCCTCCGAGGATTCATTCAATGGATTCACGGAAGTCTGACACATTACCACGACCCGTGGCAAGAGTAAAAACAGGGGGGGGGGGACTTCCTGATCTTATATTCATTCAGATATGAACTTGTCAGTTTTCATACACTCAGATTTAAGGGAGCAGAGGTTTTTAGGGTGGGCATTGCTTAGGGGCCGTCCATTAATCACGTGATCTTTTTGTTGGCATTTTTAACCCCCCTCCGTATCACGTATAAAGTATCAAGGTTGCAGGTTGTTTTTGACTGACTTAAAAATAATGAAAGAAATGCGAAAAACGTTTTTGTACTTATACATGAACATTATCTTTCAATTATTCATAAATAAACCTCCCCCTTGTGATATTTCGTGATTTTTTATGGACCCCCTTTCGAGCCTCACGTGATTAATGGACAGCCCCTTACCTACACTTAACATCAGGTAGGTTGGAGAACAAATGTTCGGACAAACTATGAAAAATATTGCCACACAATCTACTTATTTTTTTCACCATAGATAAACGGTTATCACACACTTGTTCTATTGACCAATTTGAAATGTTCACACAATAATAATTATAGCAGTACAGTGTACCATACCCGGTACTCGAATGTCCCG